AGGGACCTGTGGAAAGCTCTTGTGAACACGGTAATGAACTTTCGGGTTCCATAAAATGCTGAGAATTCTTGAGTAGGTGAGCGACTGGAGGCTTCTCAAGACGGACTCAGCTCCGTGTAGTCAGTTAGTTAATTAGTTAAGCCGCCGGTATCTGTTTCACCATAATATTTCCTTTCGCCCAGCATTGCCATACACATTATCTTTGTAAGAGAAATAGACGTGTTGGAACTTAATGAGGACCGTCTGCTGCTCACTGTGGCTCTTTTCAGGTTCACTTGAGATTCATTTCTTAGACGCTACCTAATAACTAATGTAGTAGCACCAGTAGGAAATCTTAAGTTTGAAAGTTATTCATTAGCCCTCTGTTAAAAAGGCCGGACACCATTGCTTGGACATGTTAACACACTACATATGCATGAATCGATAGTAGTTAAGTTCCACTTTGAAGGCATTTTCTGTTTTCCACAGCGGCCAGTATCCATACCAGTCGAGGTTTCGGGGGCTATCGGCCATCAACCTGTGCGCCAGAGTCACCGTGGTCTACGCTTCGGTTCCTGGGACCATCAGCTCGCGTGGGCGGGCTGCTTGCAGCGCTGTGGGGTACGGCCTGTTCGCTTCATGCCGCTGTGTTGATCCAAGCTGCCAGAACGCTCGCGGTCAGCAGTTCTGCCGCTGCAAATCATCTGACCAGTGTCACATCAACAAGTCCAAATCTTACAGTTCTTGCGGCTGTGCACCTCTCCTTGTCAACCCTAACCTTACTTGTCGTACTCGCTGTACTCCGAGTGGACTGCCGCTATGACCCTGACTGACCCACATTCCCGGCCACCACTCAAGGTGGGGGTGGCCCGAATGCTGGGATAGGGGTTAGTGTTGTTGGTATTGGTGCTGGTTTCGGGGGAGGGGGAACCACAGCTGCATCAACTGAGAGAGTCAGTCGGGTCGCCTGGGTCGTTTAAGACCATTTCATATGAACTTGAGTTGATCAGGTAAGATTCTGTTTGCGAATTTGTTGAATAAACACCTGTGAGCAGCTGATGTTATTGTATGCATCTGTAGAGCTTGGGAGTTGTATGTGAGGTTATGAATCTCAGACAGACATGTATATGTATGTACATCAAATGTGGTCTCCTATTCTTGTCAGGGCCACTTTGATGGACCTTGGACAAATTATTATTTTCCCATTCCCTCCCTTTCTTTAAGGAAAAGACCTTACAAATTTTATATAAGTTCAAGTTTTATTTTTACTAACAAATGTGAAAAGTAAGGAAAAATATTTAAGGCATAACCTAAAAATATTCTTGGTTTAAAAGTATTTCTTCCAAACATAGCACTCAACATTCTGTATATTCATACAAGGAGTATGCAATGTCAAATGTAGTAATAAAAAAGAGACAATGCTTTGCACATACTTTGTCTGTGTTCTGCCCAGATGTGTGGGCAGAACTGGCCATTACAGACTTGAAATTCTGTAAATAAAAAGAAGAAATTGCCGTCATTTTAATATTGGCAATTAGAATGGAACTCATTTAATCTTCAGAAATTTACTGTTACTAATGAGTCCATAAATATGTTTAGATATTTTGAAATAATTTGCGAAAGTGTAAGCACATGGCACCAGTGTTTGTGGAGTGACCCTGGGCAGATGCACTCTTGGCCCACTAAATAGTGTCCCTCATTCCAAAAGAAAAAAGAATAAATAAATAAATAAAACATTTGAAATGCAAATGCTAAAGAAAGATTATCTTCTTCAAGATGTGGAATGAGAGAAAGAGCATACTTTATTATGTGTATGGCGTGAGGCTGACCACTCACCTCCAACTAGTGCCGAGGTCTTTCACCTTCATGGCATAGTGCTTAATTAGTTAAGCACAGGAACAGCTTTGTGGCAATTAGCAGGAACTTTAAAATGTACATCTAACAGCAAATGGTTATGTGGGATGTCGGTTCCGGTGTTTGTAGAGACAACCACATAAATTCCTGACGAGGCCGTCGAAGCTCCGGCCTCGTCGGGCTGGCTTGCATGAGCGACGGCGGCTCTCCATGTTCAGTAGACGGGCGACTGCGAGCCGGCCGTAGAGCGCAGGCGCTGGCGGAGGGCTTCCCAAGGGGCGAGGCGACAGCTTTCGGAGTCGGTTAGCGGCGTTGCTGCTAGCAGGGTCGCTGTTACCGTGTCGCTAAGTAAGAGTTGCTTCGACTGACTCACTAGCAAAAGTCAAAGTCACATTGCGGCTGACGGTCGGTCGGTCAGTCTGTTTTGGTGTCGAGCCCCGACTGAGGCTCATGACCAGATGTTACTTTTTTACACACGACACCCCTTGTGAGGTGAAATAGAATGCACCAAAATAACGTGGCGTTAATAGAAAGTTTGATGAATTTTATCTTGTTTTACCTTGAAAAGAGAACTACAACGTGTGATTTCAACACGAACTAATACAGGATGATTCACGAAGTTTTACCCCGGCTTATGGTACACATTCCTGGGGTTATTTCCTGCAAAATTTCCTTATAAACTTGTGGTCGATTTTCAATAGTTACGGAGTAACAATAGATTTTCGAAGCGCGTCATTGTGAATGCAGCGCTATGCTTCCCTCCTGGGCGATCTTGCGTTTCAGTCAGCTGTGTCAGCAGATAAGGCTGACGCTGATCATTCTGAGCCCTTATTTATTTTGATGATTATAGATGACCATGAAATTTATTTCTAATTAATTCTCGGTAATTTAAATTTCAAAAGTCTTATGTTTCGATATTACTGGAAATGTATCGTGATCTATAATATCGTATTTCATCGTCTGGGACGTGCAATACGGTGTTTATGTTGAAAATTTCTAGATTCTGGCAGAAGCAAGAAGTCCGGAGTTATGACATTTACGATCAGTCATAAATTTAGCTCGGGTACAGGGAACCGGACGCGCTGTTACAATTGCCTGTGAATGAGGGCCAGCATGATTGGGTTGCCTCGTTCAAGCTTTCTACGGAAGATGGGATGAAATGTATATGTCAACACCATCTTTCGAATTCTCGGCGTGGGGTGTGCAAGCATTCCACAAGAGACTTTCACAATATTCCGAACTGAACGGACGTGACCCTTGCACGCTCCGAGACATAGCTTGCCGATAGTGTAACGCTGTAACTTAAAGCTAAGAATACATTAATTTAACAGTGTGGTGAATTAGCAGGTGAATAAACGTCAATTGGTTCAACTCTCAGAAAAACGCTTTCTTCGGCATCGCTACCCTGAGACACATGCAAACCGACCCAGCTAGTTTCCCGTACCTATACCGATCTTCCTTAGTTTGATCTGTGAGGGCAACTTCCAGTAGCCATCATACACTGTCCTAAGGTAGAAACAGGTGTAGCAGGGATAGCACCATTCCGACTGCGCTGATACAAACAAAGGCGGGTTGGAAAAGAGCGGTGTTAAGGCAGACCGGCTAGCGATCCTAGGCAGAGCGATCCAGTATTAAATAGGACGTTGTGTTGGTGACTGTGAAGGTAAGATGCCGTACACATTTTCCACTGAGGAATACGCCAATATGGTGTTTGTTTTGGGTGTATGTGATGGAAATGCGAGAGCCGCTGCTGCCGAATATGACCGGCGTTATCCTAATCGCATGATTCCGAATCCTAAATTCATTACCAGTATATTCAACATATTAAGACAAACTGGTTCTCTCCCCAGCGATCGTATACAATATTGTGCGAAGAAGAAAACATTCTCGATGCTGTAGAGCGCAGTCCGCGTGCCAGTACAAGACGTCTAGCTCGGCGGTTCGGTGTTTCTCGGTCCATGGCGTGGAGGACTCTTCATGAGAACGGGCTGCATCCTTACCATTTACAGCAAGTACAACACCTACAACCAGGAGACCGTGCTCTTCGTCTGCAGTTCTGCAACTGGTTAAATGGAAATCGGCAATTGTACCGCTTGATAATGTTATGCGATGAGGCACAGTTTACACGGGACGGGGTCAACAACAGTCACAACTTACATGTTTGGGCAGACAATAATCCCCGTGCCACGATAGAATCGAATTTTCAACACCGATTCAGTGTCAATGTCTGGTGTGGTGTTCTGTTTGATCAGCTAATCGGGCCACTCATTTTTCCTGGCCGCTTAACTGGTGAGATTTACCTCCACTTCTTAGAAGAAGACTTACCACAGTTACTAGAAGATGTTCCTCTGGCAACAAGACGCCGGATGTAGTTTCAGCATGATGGGGCATCTCCTCACTTCTCCCGCGCATTAGCAGCTCACTTGGATCGGCATTTCCCACAGCGGTGGATTGGTCGCGGAGGCCGTAATGCCTTGCCTCCCAGGTCGCCAGATCTAACGCCGTTAGATTATTGCATTTGGGGCAGGATGAAGGACATTGTGTACCAGGTAAAGATACAAAACGAGTGAAGCGTTGCTTGAACGTATTCTGGACGCGGCGATGACAGGAACAAACGTGTGGAACTGCGAAATGCTACGAGCGCGGTTCATAAGCGTGCTACGCGTTGTGTTGACGTGCAGGGAGAAATTTTTGAAAATCTTATGTAAATCCAGTCGTCTTCTAAAGCACTACAGTTTNTAATTTTTTTTGTTCCAAATTACCTTAGGAATGCCCTCCCTAAATGGGGCTAAAACTTCGTGAATCGCCCTGTATAGTGTACCAGTTTTAACATAATTTAATAAAATATTTGTAACATATCGAGACACCTGAAGATGGCCTTTTGGGGCCGAAACATGTGTCAAAGTGTAAAATGTTAAACTAAAATTAAGATTAAGCGGTGAATAAACGAGTGTTGCAATATTGACGGACGCTAAGTTAAACAATTGCAACACGGTGCTGAAATACAGAATTGCTCTCATTAGTGCTACCATCTCAGATTTATTTACTTTGTGTATTATTTTTTGTAATATATTGTAGAATTTGTCGTTTTCTTCCTCTTTTGCTTCAACTGGGGCTGGGATGGTTAAGTATTCTCAAGGTGTTTCAGGCCTTACATTATTCTTTTGTTCCAAAAGGGGTAGCTGTCATCAGTGCTTTGGGGTGATTTGTGAATCATTAGCATTACTCCGGCTTGAGCCCTCATTTTTTTTTCCACTCCATGATAAAATTGAAGTTAGTTGTTTCTATGGACCCTCCGAATTTCTCTTTTTTGTGTGTGTTTTATGTTTCTCTTTGCAAGTATATCGTCCAGTGGATCTTAATTGAATGCACTTCCACGTACATCCCATGTGACAGTATTGAGTATTCCCTTCTTTTTCCATTTATTCGTGGTCGTGTTTAAGCCTAGGTTATCATCGTTAACAGCAGTCAGGGTTGTATTTCTTTGAAACTTGAAAGCTGGCCTGCTTATCCGTTGCTGGCCAAAGGGCAGCAAGTCAGTGGTAGGAGTGGCACCTTAGCCTCTGCAATGGCTTTATGCAGATGGTATTATCTCCAACCTGGATGAAAAGGTTATACTGCCATGACTCGGTCGTCAAAGCCTCGTTTGTGGTAACAGGGTGCAACGCGGAAAGGTGAGATTGACAGTAAGGTATGAGAGCCTGTGGGAGATGCGTCCTACCTATTGCATGGAGACCGTATTTTGATGCGCTCGTTCTGGGGCATTTGAGATATCGATACGAACACAATTGGAGACGTTGGTGCCATCTGTTCGGCAGTCCGACAAACTTCATGGCCTGAGCACGTTGCAGTTCAATATCTGACGGCTGCGAAGTTCTGGTCCGCCATATATATATTTGTTACAGTTTAAATGTCCACTCCTGAGTTATTTCTATAGGAACAAACATATATTTAGATAATTACTGAGAGGTACGTAAATTTGAATAATTATGATCAGCTTGTACGTGTTATCGTTCAAAATGTGTGTGACAGATGAGATATTGCATGCAGTTGTAAGCTAACCTAATTGTTGAAGTAATTTATCACACACAAGACTGCCCCGAAAAGAAAATATTTTTAAACTGATGCCTTGTTCACACTTACTAATGGTGTATAATGACTGTGTGAGAGAAGATGACCAGCTGGTTTCAGTTCTAAGGTGCTACAGACTCCAGATCAGATCAAAGAAGTGAACCTGAAGATATCTTTTCTGTTGTTAGGTCTTGCTGCAGCAACAGCAGGCTGCTATAGGGAAGGAATAGAAAAGAAGTCCTGGTGCTTTATTAATTAAGCACTGTGCCATCAAGACATGGGGAAATGGAGATATAGCTTTAACATTCTTGACCTTGACACTAGATAGAGGCAAGTGGTCAGCTTCAAGGACCATCCACTTTAGCCCCAGGAAAAAAACCCCCCAGTACCCATTAGATAGGAAGCTAGGTGGGCCAAGAGCTGGTGTGGATGCTGTGGAGAACAGAAAAATCTTGCCTCTGCCAGGATTTGAACCCCAGCTATCCAGTCGATATCCTGTCATTGTACCAATTGATCTGTCCCGACTTGCAGAGAAGGAACAGTACAGATTAGATTCCTTCAAGGTAGCTGTTGCCGACACCTTCTGGAAAGCAATAAAAGTTGTAGAAAGAAATGTGATAGGCCAAGTTCTGACCTACAAACTGAAAATAGGCCCTACTGCAGAAGTACCCCACGCTGAAGGCTTTCAGGATGTGATCAATGACATGCCAATCTGACTTGCAAACCATGGTTGCTGCAAGTACTGAGGAAAATCGTGCATTGCTTGCCTAAAGTGTTTTGTTTCACCATGTTTCAACAAAGATTAGAATTGCTTTGTCAAGTTTCATGAGGCCTGAGCTGGAGGGGAAAAAACATTTGGTTTGTGATTTAGTAATTTTACTTTTTATGCATTTTTAAATAGTTTTTACTGTAATTTTTCAGTTCACAATTTATGTTTTTGGTTTGTAATGTACCAGATTTCCAATCTCTTCACTTTGCAAACTATTCATTCTGAAAGAGACTAATGTGGGTTGCAAAATAAAGACATGGCCATAACTGCAGAATGTTCCATGTGTGACACAAACCAAACTAATGAAAAATAAATACACTAGTTATTAATTTAGATTTTTTAATTGTTTTTCCTGGTTTGAGCACATTTTATTTGTTGAGAATTTAGATATAAAATGAAAAAATAATTGTGATAAGGGGTGAATGGTTCTATACTCCATCTCCTATGGGAATGAGGCACATGATCAATGACATAATCTAGTATGTCATTAGAAAGTTAATGGAATGTGTTTTCAATATATTTTTGTTATTGTATGATGGCAGGAAATCAGATGTATACAAAGGACTTCAATAAAACTGCTTACACATAGTGTGATATACCCTGGTTTGTTGAGTACCTGAACTTCGTTTTATGTCACACTACTGAGCAGTGGGGGCACATCGTAGCATAGTTGGTCAAGGCACTATGCTACAAGCTGGAAGTTCGCAGGTTCGAGTCCTCATGAAGCCATTGGTTTTTTCAATTTACCTACTCCTTCCAGCTGTACTATGGCCCTGGGGTCGACTCAGCATCTAACAGAAATGAGTACCAGGAATCTTCTCAGAATGTTATTGGGCGTAAAGGGCAGCAGGCACGTAAGGCTGACAACCTCACTGCCATCTGTGAGCCGATTGTCTAGATCAGTGTTTCCCAACCTTTTTGATGCCGCGGACCCCCTGTACGGAATGTTAATGCACCGCGGCCCCCATAAAACCCAAAATGGAAATTTTTAAATTTTACGAGTACATATCATAAAAATGAAGCAGTAACTTAAAATTTTACAACACTAAATGTGTCATTTATGACAATAAAATACTGTTATAAATGGAGATATTCGGAAGATTACGAACATATCAATTAGGCATAATATTATGAATTTAACACTCACCTAATGTGATGGCTGGTGCTGTTTTTCAGATGTCAACTTTCGAATGTTAGGATCAAAACTGGATAATTTCAGACGTAGATCTGGCTCCACGTTAAGTCTGTTCCTATATCTGTTTTTCATGTGTACAAGATGAGAAAATGTTGTCTCGCACAGATATGTAGTGGGAAATGGCAACAGATGTCTTACAGCCCTTTTGGAAATTTCAGGGTAAACAGACCTAGCTTGGAACCAAAACTCCAGTAACGGTAACGAAGGAAACAGCAATTTGAACGTCGAATCACAGGACAGCTCGATAAGTTGCTCTTCCTCGGCAGAAGGAAGTTCAGATTCAGAGTCTACAAAGGGATTTTTCATCCAGTCGTTATTTTCAAGACCAAACGGAAAATACAGACGTAGTTGAGACGCCAATGACCTCATATGTTCAATCATACTTTCAGCAACATCACTAGAAAGGGGTTGTTCACTGGAATCAATGAAATCACTCAGCATGTGAAAGGAATCGTATTTTCCTTTCTCGATACGGCCGCACCACAAATTTCACTTCTTGATTGTTGCCTCTATCTTGTCTTGCATAGAAAACACGGTGACAGATGTGCCTTGAAGGCTCGAGTTAAGAGTATTCAAGATGTTAAAAATGTCCGCCAAGTAAGCAAGAGAGGAGAGCCATGCGAAGTCATTTAAATAAGTGTGTTAACTGAAATTTAGAGTTTATGAGGAACAACCTTACTTAGTCTCGAAGCTCAAGCAACCGCGTCAAAACCTTACCCTGGGACAGCCATCGGATTTCTGAGTGCAATAATAAGTGTTCGTGATCACTTCCCATTTCATTACAAAGCGCAGA